AGTGTGTGCGGTGCAGGGCTCAGGGCCTGGCGCACCACCTAGGCAATGGGTAGTTCCTCCCTCTGGGCCCAGACTCCTCGACCAGAAGGAAGCACGCCCAGCCAGGGCCCATTCCACTCAGAGGCCACACAGCACTGAGGGGCAGGAACAGAAGTCCCTCATCAGCCCCTGGCCCCTGGTAGCCCTGTGCCCGAAGAATCCCAGGTTCTGTGGGAACCTGCCACTGCCTGCAGGAGGCCCCCAAACGTCCCAACCTTGGTGACACCTTTCAGTATCCCTCAGTTTTTCCTGGCCTGGAATTATTCCTAACCTCTGACTCACTTCCTTCTCGCCAGAAGTGAACCTTTGTTTCTCCCTGGCCTCCCACAGACTTAATCCTTCCTCAAGCCTGTAGATTTCATCCCTTGAAAGCATGGGGTTCTGGAAGGAGACAGACCTGAATCCTGCTCCTGCTGCTTATCATCGTGGGGTAACCTGAGGCACGCGCTGTAATCGCTCAAAAACTGGCTCAGCCGTTTATTAATTGTGTGACCTTGAGCAGATTCCTTAATCTTTCTGAACCTCAGTTTTCTCATCTGCACTAGTGCTTACGATTCAGGATTGTTGTGAGGATTAAGGGAGATAATACATGTGAAGTGCCTGGCACTTGGAAGGTGCCATGGATTACCAGCTGTGTGATTTGGGGCAAAAAAAAAAAACAAAAACCAAAAAACCAAAACACTCTAAGCCTCAGTTTTCCTAACTGTACCTTTCCTTCGGGGTTGGTATATTAAAAGAGTTCATCCCTGTCAGTTTCCTAGCCATGCACCCAGTCCATAGTAAGAATTCAATGATTATCTGCGGGGCACCTGGGTGGTTCAGTCAGCTGAGCATCTTCCTCCGGCTCAGGTCATGATCCCAGGGTCCTGGGATCGAGTTCTGCATCGGGCTCCCTGCTCAGCGGGGAGCCTGCTTCTCCCTCTCCCTCTGCTGCTCCCCCTGCTTGCGCTCTCTCTCTCTCTCTGTCAAATAAATAAATAAAATCTTTAAATAAAATAAAATAAATCAATGATTATCTGCTGTTGTAACTCTTATCCTCCTAGCCACCCTGTTGCTTGTTCTCTCTGGATAGGGAAAGCTCCCTCTTCTGACTCAGTGTTATTATCTCTGACCCACCAACCCCCAACCATGCACACGTGGTTATCTAACGGGCAGTATGTCTCCTTTCCCCCCTAGCGCCCCGGTGTAAAAGGGTGGCCCGAGTTTCCTATTCTGACCTGTCAGGGACTTGGTGTCGCCTACAGTGTTTTGGGTTTACCTCCAGCAGGCAAGGCTCAACCTCCATGCAAGCACACAAACCCAGGTACAAAGACCTTGCGAACTCTTAGTTTTCTCATTTATAAATGGGCATAATAATTGTGCCTATCTCCTACGTGATCGTGGATGTTACGTCAATAGCAAGTAGATGGCAAAGAGTGTTGTACTCACTCTTTGTCAGGCTTTTGTACCTGGGTGTCTGTGCTTTGTGTGGGGGTTGCAAGAAGCCTTCCCACCTGGGAGTAAACCAAAAACACAGTACCCAACACCAGGCTCCTGACAGATCCAAACAGGGAACTCGGGCCACCTGACCACCTTGTTCGGGAGTAGGATTGGCAACCCTTTTACAACAAGGGGCCTGAAGAAGAAAGGAGACAAAGTGCCCACTAGATAAACACACAGGCTCAGTTGGGGGCGAGGGGAGAGATGGGGGTTGGTGATACCCACTGGGGCAGGGAAGGGGGCTTTCCTTGCCTAGAGACGGAGGAGAATAAGCAGAGAGCTGACAGCTCGTTGACACCTGAGTGGAGTGGGCCTATGGGTAGAGCCAGCCTGCGGCAAATAATGCGATCTGAACACGGGTACATCTGCCTCCAAATCCCATACTCTTAATCATTACAATATTAATGCCTGGCACAGAGTAGGTGCTCAATGAGTATTTGTGTAATGAAGGAATTTATACTGCTCCTTCTTTCTGGAAAGTGTTCTCCCTCCATCTTTCCCTGAGCCCATCCTTCAAAGCCCAGCTCCGATGCAAACTCCCACTAAACTGATGTGTCCTCCCTCCGTTGCTCTTGGGTGGGGGAAACCAGAGGCATTAGTGCTGGGGTAAGGAAGTGTGGGGCATGAGGCTGTCATGGAGCTGGAGGAAAGACTCTTGAGTTTTGCACAGAGAGCTCTCTCCTGAGTCTGTGTACTGGATCTGAAGTTGCTACAAGGAATGGATACACCGATGACAAAATAACTCACACTGGGCTCTGGTTACTCATAACAGTGAATTCCAATCACTTAGCAACCATGTGTGGGGAGGAGAATTGGAAGCCATTTCAGGGCACGGGACTGGGAGGAAAGGGAGACAAAATGTCTGCCACTGACCAATAAATAGCGCATGTGCGCTGAGGAGGAGGAGGGGAGGGAAAGTGAGAGGAGCTCCTTCTGACTTAAGAATTACTGCTCCAAGGGTTTTAGGGTCTTTAAGCCCCTGGGGATTTAGGGATTTGTAATTCTATGCTATATAATACCCTAAAACCAAGGATATTGGGATTCCAAGGATTTCAAATGCCCATAACCTATGGTACAAGGACTCGAGCAATTTTTGAGCTATGAAATACTGGGAGCTTAGGACCCAAAACAAGGATTTTAAACGGAACACTGGACATGTTAAAATACTAATCCCCCTTCGACTTCAAATCAATCTTGTTTTAACCCTTGCGACAGCGGTTTCCAAAGGGTCTTCCCAACAATCTAGGGATCCCTGTGGGTGCCTCACAGAGGAATGGAGAGAGTTAGTTTACAAGAGAGAGGACAGCAAGATGGGAATTCTGCATCAGCCATTGTGCCTTCCACCAGGGCAACTCCATCTTCATTTTGTTTGTATATTGGGCTGCTGTACTCAATTCAAAAGAGGGGTGTTCCTGGGGTGCCTGGGTGGCTCAGTCAGTTAACCGTCTGCCTTGGGCTCAGGTCATGATCCCAGGGTCCTGGGATCAAGCCCCGCATCGGGTTCCCTGCTCAGTGGAGAGTGTGCTTCCCCCTCTGCCCCTCACCCTGCTCCTGCTCTCTCTCTCTCTCAAAGAAATAAATAAAATCTTAAAAAAAAAAAGAAGGGTGTTCTTGCTAAAGCACAAAAAAGAAGTTTTGAAGCCTCTGTCCTAGGAAAAAGGGACCAGAAGCCTGCAGAGAGTGGCCCAGGAAGCCACATTTGACCTCTGTTGTTTGTTTGTTTGTTTTTTACCAAACACCGCAAAGATTCTTCGACTGCTAAACGAAATGGTGCCAGGGAGATCAGGTGGATCAGGATATATCAGTCATTAGTTGAGTAAACCATTCATTAGGTGACTCTACTGATAAGCTCTGCTTATATGTCTGCTATAAAATTAATAATAACCACCACTAAAACTATAATTGTGATGACTACTAGCATTTATCAAGCGCTTTTACTGTGTGCCAGGGGCTGTGCTAAGTACTTTACATGTATTATCTGATGGGATCTTCACAACCCTGAGAAGAAGTATTAGTTTCCCCATATGACAGATGAGGAGCCTGGGGCTCTGAGTGGATAAGTAACTTGCCCAAGGTCATACAGCCAGAGCACGGTAGAGTCCACCTTACTTACAAAGAGAAACAGAATGGACTCCAGAAATCCCAGTGGCCAAAGGTCAACTGTCTGGTGGCCTCAATTAAGGAATGAGGTTAAGTTTTGACCAATAGATGGCACCAGCGTGTGTGAGTTTGGTGGTCTGCTCAGGTCCGTCCAAATTCAGGCACTTCACAGCGAGGGCTCAGAACTAAAGCAGCCCCATCTCAAGTTGAAGGAGGAGAGAAATGGCCAGCATTTTGGTCCTGAATCAGATGACATTAGCTGGTCCTGTTTGTAGCTAAGCAAAGATACGGGAGACCAGCAAGTGGAGGGACAGAGGTGGTTCTTTAAGAAGACCCAAGAATCTTTTTCCTTCAACATTTCCTGGGCATGTCCTTTGTACCAGGCAGCATGCTGTGTGATAAAGTCACATGGGGATATCAGACACAGCCACATGGGGACAGAGGCAGATGCTATGGTAGACGAGGTCCTGAATATATGGGGGCACCCAACCTGGACTTGAAGGTCTAGGGAGGCTTCTCACAGGAATGGTGTCTGAGCTAGTCCTCTGGGGTGAAGGGGAGCTTACCAGACCTACAAAAGTGGTAAGGCATTCCAGACAGAGGCTTAAAGCCACAAAGGTGTTAGAAAACATAACACATTCAAGGACAGGAGCCATAGGCTTCAACTGTCAAGAGAGGAGTCTGAAGAGACGGGCAAGAACCAGGTGATCGAACAGCCTAGAATATCAAATTAAGGGCTTCATTTGTGAATATATGAATAGAAAAGCCATAGATTCTCAAGAGGATCTGTGACCAAAAGAAAAAAAGAAAGGTAAGTCCCAGTTGTTGGGGAGGCAATGAAGAGCCACGGTAGGGCTTTCGGCAGGAGCACACTATGGTCTGATCTTGTGACCGATGGGGAGGGCACATTGCAAAGGGCCCTGAGGAGGCAAGAACATTAGTTGGGGTAATTGGGGCGGGATAGGCATGAGGACCTGAGCTGTGGTAGATACAAAGGGAATCGAGGAGATAAAGTTGACAGGACTTAGTAACCCCCCCTCTTGAACCCCCTCCCTGCATGCATACACTCATCTCCAGAGCTCAACTGAGGTTGTACCTCTCACTTTTCCCCCCAGCCATACTCCCAATTTTCAAGCTGCTTTTTGGGGGCCTTTTTGCTCCTTCCCTAAGCTGCCTTTGAAGTTTAGTGGAGCCTGACTGATTTCACAAGCGGACAGAGAAAGCCTGGCCCCATGCTGGGTCGGTCCCTGGCCCTGTATCCCCATGGAGTTGAATCTGTCAACTGACCTCGGGTAGGGCAATGAATTGGCCTTGAGCTGGTCTCTGACCCTCTGCCTGTGGCTTCACGACATGGGCAGAGTTCAGTTAAGAAATCAGCACAGTTCCAGGAAAAGGGCACCCATCATCTAGTTTATTTGTCTCCTGATTCATTTCATACCAACACACAGACCCCAGTGGATAGCAGGCAAAATGGAGGGAGGTCCCCAAAGCAAGCTGATTTCCTAGATGCCCCCTTCCTCTCCTGCAAGGCTCCTCAGAGAGGTGCCCCCACTTTGCCTGGATCTGATGTTGGTGTCCCTGGTGGTGAGGCCAGAAGTCAGGTTTTCTGTGGGAAGACAGTACTCTAGAGCCAGCTGGAATGCTGGGGAGTCAAAGAACCCCAAAGAGTAACTGGTCCTCTCTGCATGGGCAGGCACTGTCTTGATCTGCTTCCCGGGGAGCTTCAGAAAGCAGGTCTTCCCCTAGAGCTCCTTGGACCCTCTCACTGTCTCACAACAACACAGACAATGAGATGCAGGAGGCCTGGGCCCACAGGCCAGCTGAATATCGCCACGGTGAGCTGGGAACTCAAAGACCCAACTTACAGTCTAGAGAGCTATGTCTGGAGATTCCTGGCTCATTGATGCTCTAGAGCCTTGCCAGTCATACTGAACCCCAATCAGACTCTGACCAGTTCAGTTTGGGCATGTCAGGAGCGGGGAAGGAAGATGAGCTGTGGCCGTGTGCTGCTGACCCTCGTACCCTCACACACTCTTCCGGCCCCCTTTCATCTGTCTCCTCTTTCTTCTCCTCTTCTTTGTCCTTTTCTTCTTCCTCCTCCTCCTCTTCGTTGTCTGAGTCCTCATATAGGTTGATGGTTGCCTGGACGGGGAAGTTCTGCAGTAAAATCTCCCCATCACTGTACAGGTAGTCAAAGGAGCAGGCTTTAGGCCAGAAGAGCCTGTGGACAGAGAAGAAATATGGCCGCTGACTTAGATAGGTCTTTTACGTGCAGAGAGGCAAGGAAGGCCACGAAGGAAGTCAACCCCTAAATTCCTTCTCCTGCCTGCAGTAATGAGGTGAAACGGAAAAGAAGGAAGCAAGCATTGTAACAGAACCTTCTAGATGGTTACAAAATGGCCCCAGGCGGGAAGGTCATATCTGGTGGGCATAGAGCTGTGGGGAGCCCCTGCCCCGGTATCTGTCAACTCTGACATTGGTCCCATTCTCCCCCCGCCCCGCAACCCCCCACTTCAGAAGTCTTCTAGCGAAGAATTCTCTAGCCCTGTGTCCTCCATGTCCCACTAAGGCTTCCTTTGCTGACTCCGCCCATAGGGGCTTATTCTTAGGGGTCACTGACAGATCCTCCAAGGAAGGCAACCTTGGTCGACTCCCTTAACCACCCTGGGCTTCAGTTTCCTGGTCTAAGAAAGAGCGATCCTGGCACTGCCTACCTCCTCCAGCTCCACAGGGCTGTTCTGAGGACTGGAAGAGCTCACGGGCCTACATCAGGTTCCGAGCTGGGCGCCACAGGCTTACCTGACAGGGTGATGGAACTCGGGGTCAGCCTTTGTGACTTCGGCCCCTGTTGGCCCACCAGTAGCCTGTCCAAAGCAAGAGCTAACATGTGGCTCCAAGTGCATGGCCACGTGACTACCTCCTCCATACCAAGGGTCACAACCCTCCGTAAGACGATCTAGAAGAAACCTTAGACATCTCGAGGGGCAGCCCCTGCCCCCCCCACAACAAGGGCCTCTGTCCTGGTTCTGGTTGTAAAACAAGTGCACAGAGTCCTGGGGGTTGTTTGCTTTCCTGCCCCTGTTCTAACACCTGTTTGGAGACTGGCCAGGAGACAGAGTTCTACTGAGCCGCAAAGATTCGGCAGTGGCGGGG